ATATAATTTCTCAAAGCAGCTGCACCTTCCCCTTGGATCACACAGCTGCTGCCATCTGCAGGTGCCAGTAAAAAAATGTATTTAATAAGCTGCAGGCAGATCCTATGTTATGGCTTTCTGAAACTGTGGTTATCAAAATAAGTCATTCTGCAGTGCAAGATGATCACACAATACAAAGTATTATTGTTGCTTCAAGAAGAAGCAGCCTCAAAATTGGAAACCAGTTTCTGAGTTGGCAGTACATATTCAAGATATATTCCTGATTTCACAAACAGCCATTATGCGTCACAGATCAGCATCATCCATTTCTCCAACACATAGGACCATGTCTGGAATTCTTTTACAGATGTCAAAATGCACAAATTAAAATGTATAGTGGCTTAATTCTTTTACAAAATGTTCAATATGTAAATGAATTTAACATTTTCTGGGATAACTAAAAATTCAATAGATAGCATAAATCAATAAAACAGTGCAGGTATGCTTATGTTTAATTACAAAGATGGACAAAATGATTCCATTAAAATTCCATTAAAAACAACGGTTTTGATGTTTGAAACAGATTGTTCTCACCTTAGTGGGAGTGTCTCAATTCTGTTTGGAACATTCGGGTATAAGAAGAATGTAACAAGCTTGAACATTTCCAGAAGACTATCAGCTAACTTACAATAAAGCTAGAACATGAGATTTGGGGGATGGGAGGGAGAAAAATCTCCAGCTCAAACCAGGGTATATCACTTAAACTGTTCTGACATTTGATAATTTTTTACACTTTTTAATTTAATTACCTTGGTACATTGCTTGTGCTCCAGTCCATGCAAAGAGACTTGCAACTGCATTGGCTCGATATGGAACATCAATCTGATCAGTGAGATTCAATCCTATCAGTCTTTCTCGTTTCACCCTGTCAGGAAGCAAGTGAAATTGGGTGTGCCCATAGCAGCATGGATCCGATACCTGAGAACCTAAAACCAAAGGAGATTTTAGATAATTTTCTATGCAGAAAACCTTAGGCAGAGTTGATAGCAGCACATTTTGGTATATAGTTCAATTTCATACTCATGTACTTAAATTTATCTTCCAAAAACCATTATCAACTGCTTTAACTAAAGAAAAGAATTACAACCAACTTTATTTCTACTTGGAAATCTTTGTGTTTGTGACAGGAAAAAACAAAAACTCTGATTTTTGGTTTTGCTGATTAAATAGATTTGTTGTTATAGAAATAGCTAGTATATAGTATCATGCAAAAATAAAAAGTTGAGGCTGCAGAGGTAGTCTTTGATTTACCACAGTTCGTTTAGTGACCGAAGTTACAACAGCACTGAAAAAAAGTGACATGACCGTTTTTCACACCTATAACCACTGCAGCATTCCCATGGTCATGTGATCAAAATTCAAATGCTTGCCAACTGACTCATATTTATGATGGTTGCAATGGCCCAGAGTATGTATCACCTTTGGTGATCTTCTGACAAGCAAAGTCAATGCCTTATTCTACTGTGCTAAAAAGAGTTCTAAACCAATGCATTTTTTTTCTTTTTCCCTTTTACTCTTCCCTTTTTCCTCTGCTACTTTGCTATTATTTTCATTTTTCTTTGTATTTTATATTTTTATAAAGTAATAAAAATCTGGATTACAAAAAAAAGAAAGATACAATGACACAATAGTCTTACCTATAAATATTCTGTTCTCATACTGTCGTTTGAACAATGGAAGTTTGTTAGGTAAATGCTGGATAACAGGAATATCTCCAGGGCCCAGGTAATCAAGAGGCTCAAACTTAAAGAAAGAAAACCAGCTCAGGAAATAAAAATGATGTATAATTTTTTTTATCATATCATAAATAATGAATTCTATCATCTCTTATTTACCATTTCTACATTAAGCCACTAATACCTGTTGGACTGCAGAAAGGTAGAAAGTTTAAGCAGAAAAGGAATTCCCTTTAATTCCCAGGAATTAAAAACCCATAATTCCCAATGTTATCATCCTGACTGAAATTCCAGAAGTTCCCAGCGTATCAGCAGGGCAGCAACTGGAGAAAAACTGAGAAAGAAAAAAAAATCATGATGTGTGCACCAGACCAACAGAAAAAAGTGAATTCATAAAAAACATGTATAATATTCTCTGCCCCTCATGGCTCAGGTCCTCCTTTCTGTGATATATCACCTTAACTTTACTCACAATGAATTAGGGAATACCTTGAGCCAAAAATGGATTCAACCTTGTTTCTGCTATTTGGATTACAATGGCATTCCACCCTCTCTTGATCAAGACTGCTGAGGTTCGCTGAGAGACACTAACATCACTGCTGCTTCCTACCTCTGTCCCCCTTTTTGAAATTGTCATTCTTATGTACTCTAAAAGCTACAAAATGTGAAAGACCTGAACAATGCTAGACTCACTCACCCTTTTTCCCATTATATCTTAGGTTGGAATGTAAAATACAGCAAGGAATCAGGAATGGCTATATCCTGTTTTTTCTACCAGTGGTCAGCTGACAAGCCCTTATTCAAGCTTTGAAAGTGTCTCTGTGGGACTAGAAGTGCAGCTGCCCTTAGCCTGTTCCCTGCCCCAAAGCCCAAAGCAACACCTTCTGCTCAACCTAAGGGATCACGTATGGTGCATGGCCAAAACAGGCAAGATGTTGTCCTCCTTTTAACCACTTTGTATGGAGGGGAAGGAGGAGGAGGTGCCACAAAAAATGACCTAGACCCCAGTATAAACTAAAATTCAAAATAGCAAAGAGACTATAAAGATGAAATCTGAAGATACCATAAAGAGCAACATAGCTTTATTTAATGTGGCTGCATTATGCACTATATACTGAACCTGAAATAAATAACAACAATGAATATGAGTACAGTAATATTTCTGAATTTTTTTTAAAGAAGGCATTTTTGGGTCCTCCCCTACAAAGAAAACTACTCACTACATGCTTCCGTAAGTCCCACTATGCTGACTATTCATCTTTACTTATAAGTGTGATTGCAATTTTTTAAATAAAATGTTGAATATTAATATGTTCACATACTGTATGATTTATCTGACATTTGAGGATGTGGAAATGAAGCATAATGGAAGTTTAAATCAAACAATAAAAATAAACGGTTCAAAGAAAAGAGATATAGGATATATTCCAATTTACATCTACTTGTATTCAAAATATCCCTTGCCAAACCTTTTTTTGATTGGACTATGATTTACACTTCTTATACAGCCCATAAATGAATCAGTCTTAAGTTGCCCCTAACTACACTGGTGTTAAAAATATTTTCCCTTTATTCTAGCACCATTGAAAGAGCCTAAAATATTTAACATCTGTTAGGTTTTGATTAGAAGTCATGTGAATGCAATATTATAAACAAGAGGTAACAGAAGGACAAGGATTAGTAGTGGCAGCAACAAGTTTTATTGCAGTAAGGCTTTCTGCCCACTTAAGGCTGGATAAGTAGTGCTCAAACTCAGTTGAGAAGAAAAGCTGGCAATGTAATTACCAGCCCTAAGGGGGGACCACTCATTTTTACTTCCTTTTTTCCACACTTACATAATAATTGATGAGGATTTACAGGACCAGGATTTCTATTCTTATATATTTTAAACATCTGTCTCCACTTCAGTTTTATTCAGGAGATTTCAGCTATCAGCAGTTTATGGAAAGTCTACCATATTTTTACTACTTCCTAATTTTACTCAAATACTTTTTGGAAAACTCCATTAAATGGCAAAAATGATCAGATGTAGCAGAGCAGAGAAAAACAAACCTGACACAATATCACCAATTCAACTGCTGCTTAAACAAAAATATTTGTACCTCTGAAAGTTGCTTTCTTATACGAATCTGACAGCGTGGCTTATCATCAATCTGAAATCTGAGTGGGTCAATCCTGCCTCGCCGGTGACCTCGAGGAACCACTGTCTCCCCACGCAACCAGTAGAAATGTACATCTGGCTTAAAATCTGAAATAATAAGACTGTGTCTAATCAGGATGTTCACATAAATAATAGAGGACATAGTGCATGTATTATTTGAATGTCAATTGTGTAATAAAGGGATCAATATTTCAGACCACACATTAGACAAATGGCCTATAGGGATCCTTACATTAAAACATTTCATATGCATTCATACAATTCAGACCTTTATTTGAACAAAACAGTACAACTGAGAACTGCAAACGTCGATCTAATTAGCATAAATTGTAGAAGCGACACAAATACGATTTGCATTTTCTTTTACTTCTTACTTTCAGTCTATTTTCTAACATGGTCTTATTACTGTTCTGTATTTTATATTTTATATCCTGACATGGCCTAATTAATAAACATCATTAAGAGTAAATGTTTCAGCCTATTCACTCAGAATGAAAGATGCATGTGATTCTTTATATGACATTTTCATTGTCCTTTAAACAAGGATGAAGAGACACACCTATGATGGAAGAGGAACCAAGCTCTGGGTTGAGATAAGCCAGGTGGGCTGCAAGCTTTGGCACCAGATGGGTAATGAAAGGCGCTGGCCCCTGGTCGCTGGCGCGGAAGAGTTTGGGGCGCTTCTTGCGCTGGTAATAATGCTCCTGAAGGAGCACTTCACATACAAGGGACCGGAGCTCAGCCAAATCCAAACTGTCTTTCTTGTCTTCTTCGCTTACTGATACCGAAGCGGGAAGTCCTGGCACAAAGACGGTCTTCGTGAAATGTTG